TTTTTTTTTTTATCTGCAACAGAGACTTTAGTCCTGGGACAGTTTTCTGTCTTTCCCAAGCTTGACATTTCTATGTGTTATACTAAAAGGTTAGGCTATACCTTAAACTACAGGGCTGTGGCCTTGCTGAAACTACATTTGCTGTATTAAGGTTGATATCCTCCACACACACGGCAGAGGTAAGGGGCCCAAGAGAATGCGCAGGAGCAAAGAGGCCTCTCGAGGCCCAAGTTTGGAAATGGCACCAGGTTCTTTCTAAAGCATGCTATTGGCTGACATAAGCCATAGGGCCAGACAGATTCAAGGGGTGGGCAAGGAGACGCCACCTCTTAGCAGGAAGAGTGCCAAAATCACATGCCACGTAGTCCACACCCCAAGGTATGGAGACTGAGAGACATAAAGGACTATGGCCATTTTTGCAATCTGTGATCATTATGTTTTGAAAGTATTTGCCACCCTTCTGTTTACATACCATTGGCCAGAATTTATTCTCATGGTCACACCTAATCGCAAGGGAGACTGAGAAATATGTCTCACTGTGTGCCCAGGAAGAAGGGGAGATCATGGGTATTGAGGACCATCGGCTCTCTCTGCCACAAATTTTAAATCTTCTGAGTTAACACCCAGAAGTGAGATTTCTGGCTTGAAAAATGCTTCTTGAAAACCCTCCATATGCCAGGCACTCTTCTAGGGACTGGGAATACAAGAGTGAATAATATCTCCAAATGCCATCCCATTAGGGGTTAGGACTTCAACATGTGAAGTTTTTTGGGGGGCGGGGAGCAGAATTCCGTATGCAGTACTAGGAACACACAGCCCATCGATGACAGAGCCGGGCTCTGAACCCAGGATGTCCAGGCTCTCAACCCCTCTACTCTGTGCCTCTCTGCTGTTCTTATTAACAGTATAGCGATTCCTTGGAAAGGAGCTGAGATTGATCAGGGACAGAGGGGACACACAAGTTCAGGGCTGAGGTAACAGAGGTGAGAGAGACAATGAGGCTTCGTGGATTAACAGTAATCAATGCATCTGGAGCATAAGCAATGAAGGGATTAAGAGTGAAAGATGAGGTAGGTGAACCTGGTTGGGACCAGATTCTCAAAGTATTGTACACCTAATGAGGTGTTTGGATTTTATTCTGAGCAGTGGGGAGCCTTATCAGAAGATTTGCACAGGTCATGGATATGTCTCTAAAAGGTTGTTTTCTAAATGATGAAAATATGCGCGAGAAAGTGAGACCAGAGTTGGGGAAGTCCATTGGCTTTAGTCCTCAGCGAGGCTGGGAGCTCCTGTAGCCTCAGCATCCTTCATTCTTTTGACTTACACCAGTTTTCTGTTTAGATGTGGATGAATGTTCCAGGAACTCAACTCTTTGTGGCCCCAATTCTGTCTGCCTCAACATCCCAGGAGCATACCGTTGCTCCTGTCTTCCTGGATTCTTTATGCCTGATATTTCGACCCCTGAGCATCCAGATACTTTCAAATGTACAGGTAATTCTCCCAGCCATGCTGAGGGCTTCTCAATGGATATCAAACTACCCTCGAATATAGTGTCTCATAACAACAACCATTTGTTCTTGCTCATGATTCTCTGGCTTGACCATATGGTTCTTCTGTTTCCCATAGTGTCAGCTGGGGTGGCAGGATGATTGGTAGGTCCATAGTGGCTTTGTTTACATGGCTGATAGTTGGTGCTGGACTCTGGCTGTGAGCTCCGCTGGAACCCTTAGTTTTCCTCATGGGATTTTTCACATGGTTTCTTGGGCTTCCTTACAACATGGCCGCTGGTTTACAAGAAAGCAAGTTCCAGGAGGAAGAAAGCAGAAACTGCCAGTCCTTTTACAGTCTGAGCTTTGAAGTCCCAGAATGTTCCTTCTATCACTTTCTATTGGTCACAGTTACGAGGCCAGCCTAGATTCCAAGGAAGGAGAAATAGATGCTCATCTTGCTGAGGGAGAAACATGCATACAGGAAGTGGAAGAATTGATGGAGGCCATCTTTGAAGTATCTACCATACTGCAGAGCACATTTAGTATTCTTCAACCCC